CTGGCAAGATGAGTGTTATGCATTCACAATGCACATCGTGGTCAAGTAAACTCTGAAGTAAAGCCTCACTGCTTTTACCAAAAGCTGGCCCTAGCTTTCCACATCTTTTTCCTTTCATCTGTTCTAGAGTGTTTCCATAAGCTGTCCCTTGTAAAAAAAAAAAAGAAGTTTGATTTAGAGCAGGAGTTCCTATTTGCATACAATAGCAACATTCATATTCTGCACTTTGACTTTACGAAGGATTAACTTTATTTCATTTATTTCTGTATTATTTCTCTAATAATTGAAGTCTGCTGTTAGGATCACTAAGATTTTGTTCATGCAGACATAACTTGACATAATTGTGATCAAGTTTTAAACTGGAAGCATTGTGCTTCATGTAAAATATAGTTTATAGACTGCTTCATGTAAAATATACAAATTGTGATTTTAATTACAGTGAGCACAAATAAACCAACTTCGATATCAAAACTGACCTTAAAGTCTTTTATAAGCTTTGATGTACAGATAAATTTGCCAAGAAAAGTTGGTGATGTTCTTTTTCCTGCTGAATGCATGCAGAATTCAAGGAGCATGTATTTCACTGCAGGAAATAGCAGCCAAAGTGTCTGAGTTACCAAGCTCAAACACTGAGGTTTTTTTGTAAGCAAAGCAGGTTCATTTCAAATAGAAGGTGTTTAGCCAAAGTTACCAACACAGAGCTGTAGGTTCTAGCTGATCCTTTGGGTTTTATGGACTTTCATGACAACTACAGCACAGCCTTCACTGCTGTGCTTCACTACTACTGCTCACAGTTCACTACCATTTCTTTTACTGCCAAGGACAACATATGCAAAGGAGACAGGCCACCATTCTAAATTCTAGATGTTGTGCAGAGACAACTTTATTTATATTGGAAAATCAGCAGTCATAAGGAGCAAGAGCTGTTAAAATACATTCAGTTCCTGCAGGTACGTGGGACTAGGAGAGACAAAAGCTCCAGCCCTCCTCAACAACCAACTTCTTCGCCTTCGGCAGCAGTACAAGTGCTGTATGGAATTACATTATTTAAAACCTTTTTACACAAAGCCAAGTGGGTAGATGTAATATCAAATATAAGCCATAAATAAAGGAAAGCTCATCACTGTGCACAGATTTAATGGGACAGTCATTCACTAAAGCACAGCAGTGCTCTGAGTAACAAAACAACTCAGGTTCAGCTTCCTACAGTGAAATTACTACTCCAAGGTATGTGTTCATTCCAATTTTTTTCAAAAGTACATCCAATTAAAGGACTACATGATACTGAATGAGAAATCCAAACCTCAGATGGATTCTGAAGCAAACCAAACACGCCTCCCAGGGGCCTTGCTATTTTTATTCGAGCTTTTTACAGTCTTCTTTGAAAGCTCCATGCACTGCTCTGGTGACGTGTGATAAGCATTACCAAATGAAAGTACTGGCAGACATCTCAAAACCAAGTGCAACTGTTGCATTTTCTTCAACAGTTCATAAAGGCTTGTTTTTCTATGAAGTGAAATTTATGACAACATGAAAGAACAGCACTTCAATATATTTTACAAATCAATTCATACGTAGAAAAGAAGAAAACAATGTTTTGAAGTTATTACCAAGAAGTTACACTGCTAAGCTGTTAAACATTACGTGTAGTTCTGTAAACTAGTAAGGAAGGATTGCAGTAACATGCAGTTCTGGAATGAGACAGTAAAAATACCACACAAGCAAATATCTTCTAAGATTTTTTGTACTCAATTCTTTCTACTTTCACATCATCTCCAATTAGCTGATAGACGTACGTCACTACTGTAGAAGCCTGGATGTCCATCAGCACGAATGACGGGATGATGTTGCTAGAAAGGAAAAAAAAATAAAATCACATGAATTGAGAGCGTGTATAAAATAACCTTAATGGTGTTTCACTGTCAGACTTCTTAGCAAGAATCTCCTGAGAAAAACTGATGTGAGCTTTGTAAGCACAGTACATCAGATCTGAAGCTTTAAGGACTTCAGTCGTCCGTTTCAGGCCAGGAGCCTCAGCAAGGACGACGAGTCCCCCTCTACTAAAGGCTACATTGGGCAAATCCCAACCTGAACAAGTTTTCTTATCAAAAAGAAATATCCCACAGCTGTTTCTCATGCTTTACTTACTTCTCCAAGGCATGATAAGCTCCTGTAGCTGATCCTGGATTAATATAGAACTTGTTTTCATGTTCAAACGCCTCAAATTTGTGTGTATGTCCTGAAATGAGGATGTCCACATCGAACTGCCTCTGTAACAGTGCCAGGCTGGCCATATCACCCCAAGGAATAACCTGGTGGCCATGAATCAGACCAATTTTGAACTGTCCAACAGTTACAACTTTCTGTTCAGGATAATTCAGGTTCTAAAAATCAGAAGTAAAAAAAAAAAAAGAAAAGCAAAATAAGCTAATTAAGCCCTACAAACTGATTAGATGTACACATTCATCTATAAAAAAAAAAAAGCACTAGATGAAACCTAAAAGTCTGTCTGATTGGTTCTGCTGCCCCAGAGTGGGAGCCACACTACTGCTTTTATAAGCACTGTCAAGAGTTTGGTAAAGATGCCAGGAATTTCAGAGAGAGACAACAGGAGGTCCTGGTTGCTAGTCTTAGCCTTAGCTCAGTGCCCAATTCAGTTTTGATCACACTGACTGCAACTCATTAATTGGAACCCTTTTACTCGGTTTACTTTTCACTCTTAGCACTAAATAAGCTCAGACTGCCCACTTTTTTACTTAGAAGTGCAAGTAACTCAACCACTGCCTTGAACACAAAATACCACCACCAAAAGAGGTCACTACCTCATCAAAGTCCCCTCTGACAACGTGAACGTCCCCAGCCAGGGTCTTGAGGTAGTCATAAGTGTCCTTGGTGCAGAGGTTTCCCGTGCAGAGGATGTGCTGGATCTTCCCTGGAACCAGCAGCTTTTTGAACTTGGCTGGGAGGCTGTTGCATCGATGTGGAATGTGAAGATCTCCTAACACTAACACCAACTGAACCGGCGTCATGACAGGAAAGAAAAGCCATTACAGATACTTAAGATGAGAATTATTAGGTAACAAAAAGCACCACAAGGTCTTCTGTTTCCCAATTGTATTTTGATATAAAAGCTACTAAAGTAAGAATTAAATAAAGGAATATTTCCATATTTCAGTGAAAACAGGGGCCCTTACTAATACTGAATGCTACCCAGAGGAAAGCCTTACAAACCTGCAGAGGTTTTGTGATTTTGTTGCTGAAAGTCATTGCAAAGTGTAACAGAAGAACTGCATTACTACTTGATGTGACTTACACAAAATTGGGAACTACCATAAGCTGTCCCACTTCCTTTTTCCCCTTAAACTAGAAAAGATATCAGACATCTGTACCAGATGCTCTCAAGCACAGACTTGGCTGAGCTGTGGTCACATCCCTTTAAAGCTCCTTTCTACTTAAGTTATAAAATAGTAATAACAAATAGCAAATTTGTCACATGTGTTAATAGTTAATCAGAACAGGAAGCTTGTTCTGAACACATATCATAGGATAGTGAGACTAACAAAATGAAGAGGGAAAAAAAAAAGCACAAAACCCTTGAGAACATTGCAGAAAAAATAACCTGGATTACTGCATCCACTGTTTCTGTTACCAGGTCTATGTATTTGGAGCTTCAGTTCTACAGATGCAATGAGAACATAAATTTAAGGGGGGACTTCAAAATTACACAACCAGATTAAGATGTATAACGTTAAACTACAGTCTTAAGTCCGCTAATAGAGAAAATAATTAATGCAAGCAAAGTAGCAATAAATTAATTTTGCAAGAAGGGCATGAAAAGCTCTATGCAGCATGGGGCGTAATGCTACTACATTAAACCCAGTGGATTTAGAGATGGTCACCCCATCGATTTGACTAAAACCCCTTATTAATTGAGTTTATCTTCCAATTAAAAAGCTTTGTTAGTAAGCCAGTTCCTAAAAGCTTATCTTCCAGTCCTAAACTAACAGCCACCAGATCTGTCTGCAAATAGACACAGTCCGTATACACAGATATACCGATGTATGCAGCAGTAACCACATTTACCTTCTTTAATACTTGCTTTTATCTTATATTTTTAAGCCACGCAGCTGTCGTTATGTTAGCAACCACGCTAAGATGCATAGAGGACTCGGGTGGCTGTGGAGGCCTTTTCCCCCTATTTTTAATTGAAAATGTCTCATTGCTGATTAAAGTGGCACTAAACAGATGCACTCACTGATGGTTAAAGGTCTGGGCCATGGAATAGCAGCTCTGCATTTGATGTCTAATCAAACTGCTGCCACTTCCACAAAACCCCAACGAAGCTCAAAGACCTTTTCCCTTGAACAAACAGGCAGGCCCCAGATTTTCCCAAACCACATCTGAGCTCCTGGTAATTAAGAAATAAAAATAATAATAATAATAATTAAAAATAAAAAAAAACAGCACCGTGGGCTCCATCCACAAAACCTAACAGCATGGAAGCGTGTTACATCCGGAGCTGAGGGGATGTGAGCAGCGGCCCCAGCCCCACCGCAGCCCCAGCGCCGGGACGGAACTTACTCTGTGCCCGGCCTGAGCGGGTGGAGGAGTTGATTGCAGACAGGGGAATGGGAAACAGGGCGAGGCGTGATCAATGTTAAACCAAGGAAAGCAACAGAAAAGAAAACAGAGCCAAATGAATAGGCAAATCATAATTAATGAATTGTCGATGTTATGAAAGCAGCGTCAAACGGTAAAAATAAAATTAAGCAACAACGACACACGGTTCCTCGCTGCTCTCCACCCACGGCCCCCGCTGCTCCCTCCCCGCTCCATCTCCCTCAGTTCGGCCACAGGCGGATTTTTAGGCGCCGACCGACACAAAGCGGGGCCTCCTTCGGGCCGCCGTCGGCGCTGGGCCGCCTGGAGGTGCCGCGGGAGCACCTCAGGAGCATCGCAGCCCAAAGGCGAGACCCAGCGCTCCGCTCACCATCCTGCTCGGCAGCGCACCGCCCGCTGAAGCCACTCCCGGAAGTCAAGCACTCTCTCCCGGAAGTCAGGCGGCTTCTCCCGGAAGTCAGACTGCCTCTACTTCCCCTCCGCTACGGCTCCACCGTAAGTCCAAAAGAGCGGGAAACGCGTTTCTCCGGCGATTACATCCGGGTCTTTCTCTTGTGAGCGGGGTTTCCCGCCTTTTCTGTTACGTGAGGCGAGAGGGCTCGGGGCGGGCAGCTATGAAGTGTGTCATTGGGGGGACGCACCTCAGAGGTACCTGTTACCTCAGGGGAGGTGGTGGCACGTCGGGGCAGAGTGAAGAGCCTTCCCTAAGTAGGGTGCGGCTGCCATAGCAGGGTTTGGGGCAGAGGAGCCGTTGCCCGTGGCACCACGCTGTGAGAGTTCCTCACAGAGCTCTGAGCTTGTGGTAAAGTCTGAGAGCAGCCCAGTTGGTGGGCTTCTTAGGGTTCTGCTTGTTCAGTCTTGTGGCCATCTACAGAGTGACATTTCTGACCAAAGCAGCATTTTGTGCCGTCAGTGGGAGATTGTTTGGTGATGTTGGGCTGTACAGCTGCAAAGGGACACACCAAATCCACAGTGCTCCTCTGGGTGGAAACACAGAGGTGTTAGTGACACTAAAAAAGAGCAGTGCTTTCCCCCACACCATCATTTCTCTTGGAAAAGCATGAGAAATGTCTAACATTTTCCCTTAAATTGTTCTGGAGAAAGTTACGAGGTGTAACTTGTTTTTCAATAGAACCTGCAATGCATCTCATGCCGTTCTGTTTCCCTGGCAGTGTTTGGGAGAGCAGTGCATGCCATGGCGCGGGTTAGCGATGAGTTCTGCTTTGACCCCATAGACAGAGGTGTAAGTACTTCGGATTTACTGACAGTTTGAAGTCTTGTTGGAAACTGTTTGTGGTGTTAGTTCTTCCTGCAGGTATTCTTCAGTCTGAGCTGCATTCTGTTTCCTCCCTCCACTTTCAAGGTGGACAAATGCCATGCTTTCTGTGATTGTAATTACGCAGATGATATCACGGAAGGGTCATTCCTCTGTCCCTGATATTCCTGGGGATTTGGTTACCTGACGCTCGTCCAGGACATCCGGATTAATACCAAGGGTTTTATTCCCATTGTCACGAATCAGAAGTTTGATGTGTTGCTTCGCATCAGAAATTGCCTTTAAATGACATGTTTTTACCCTGGTGTGACTCAGCAGGAAGAATGGCTCCTGTTAATCAGACACCACTTCCCTCAGAATTGTTTTTTTCTCTAGAGCTTTCTTAATTAAAAGCAATGAGCTCAACACGCTGTGGGGCTGGTACATCAGAAGTAGAAATACTGTTTGTAAATGAGATGTTGTGTAGGTGCTTGAAGTCTCTGCTTATTTGTGTATCTCATGGATTGTTTTAGAATAGGCACCAGTTTTTCACATACCTTAAAAGCAACTTCTAAGGGCTGAGTAATCTGCACTTCAAGGCTTAACTCACACATCCCTGCACTGGGTTCCCATGTCTGCATAAGGGCCGGGGCTTCTGACTGGTAATAACAAAGGGGATAAGTCTGAACACGGCAATAGAAGTGATGCATCTGGATTTGTTTGGAGATGTACACACATAAAGGTTTTGTGGCTTAGGTGTGGCTCTGAAGATACCACGCTGAAGGTACAGAGATGGCTTTTTTGTTAAAGGCTCAATACGAAACAGCTCTGAGTTAATGAATTACTTTGCATTTATTTTCAGCTTGCCTTAAGATCAGTGAATTCTTCTCGGTCAGCATACGCGTATGTCTTCTTCTCATCCATGTTTTTTCAACATTACTGCTGCACGGCTGCGCCTCAGCCCTGTCAGAAAGAAAAACAGTTGTCACCTGCATGTAAATTGATCATTAAGGTATAGTTTAACACATTGCTACATGCAGCTTTGAAAGCAGGAAGTCAGCCCATTTTCAAATCGAAGTGGTAGGGGAGGATTCTATGGGCATGCAGGTTGCTCTAAACTGAAGGGCTTCTGAGCAGTTCTGCAGAAGGGAGTGTTAATGTTTAATTGTTTAAAAGGTGTAGTCCTGAGCTGTACCTTGCAGATTCCAAAGTCTGAATCAGCCTCATCTTGGGTGAAGGAATGCTGTGTTTCTGTCTGATGAGGGTTTCCCCTATAGCCTTTGAGAACAGCGTGAGCTGGAGAACATTGACACACTGTTCTGCAAACAGGGCTGTGGGTGGGTGAGGGCAGCAAAGATCAACGCCAGCAGCCTGCGCTTTGCTTACAGAACAGTCATAAAAGCAGGAGCTGGGGATGAACTGCATGAGAGAAATAACACTGCAAAATGTCTTAGAGAGTAACCTCTGCACTGATTGTATGCTTTTTTTCAGTCAGTTCTTCCTATATTCAGATGTGTAAACGTGCTGGAAAGGCACGTGGAGAAATGCAGCATTTACACAAACGCTAAAGATCGCCACATAACTTTTCAGCTCCTCTGCAGAAATGGTACGTGATACATAGAGTGCATTTCCACAACCAGGAGCAGTCTGACAGCAGGACGAGGTGTAATTATTAACTGAGTGTCACTGATGGGACATTATGCCAAACGCTTTCAGCCTCTTCACATCATAATTTATGTCGTGACATTGCCTTGCTAAAAAGCAGTTATAACAGCATTTCCCAGACTGACTTTTATCCGGTCAGTAATTATGTGTACTTGTTAATTGTCCTTTGTTTTCCACCAGCATTTATATTGCTGTAACAATTAAATGTTGAAGGTTTTCTTCCTGCATCTGTTGCTGTGAAGTCATTTGCTGTGAATTCTTAAAAATGTCAGAGACTTGAGGATATAACGAGGAGGATGAAGGAAGGCAGAGGGCACCAGAATTTGGTTTTCTATTTGTGGGTGAGATATTGCTACACAGCTAGAGTGAGTCATTTATTTCCTTTGTTGAGATGTCTTGGAAGAGCAATTAATATTAAAAAGTTAGAATTCTAGACCAGCATTGATTTTCATTCACATATTTTATACCTAGGTATTGTAAAAACACATAATCTGGCTTTTCAAGAATGTGACCCATTGCAGGCTGTTTTTGCAAAGCACATGTGTCCAAATGTCCTCAGAGCCCACTCCAGGTAATGAACATTCAAATGTTTTGTTCTGGGGAAAAGAATAACAAGAATCCAGAGGACAGTGCTGCTCCAGCTGTCACTAACATGACCAAAATGTGGGTAGGGCCCACACTCAGAAATGGTGAATTGCTGCTAAATGCCTTGCTGTGATGTTGGATATTTCACATAACAGCTTCAGGAGCTGGATTTGATCAGGGGTGGTTGTGCCATTAATCCTGCTGCCAGCTTGAGAAGCACATAGTCCACGATTTGAATCCACACCTTTGCCATTGCTAGACAATGACTTGTCTCATGTAAATCATTTTAGTGCTAAATTCATCTTCATAGGCTGCTGGCTGATATAATGGTTCACTTTCCAACGAGTCAAGAAGAAGTCACTTTATCGGTTACTCCAATGAGGGCTTGCTTCAGGAGTTACACTGAGGAAGACACTGGTAAGGAAACAGAAAACACGAAGGAATGCTGCTCATACTGCCATCCTGTGGGTTTAATGTACCTCGGAGAACTTGGGGTTTAGGAATACTTGCCTGGCGTCGATGGCAGAAGAGGAAGAAGGAATTGGAGGCATTTTGCTTTTGTTGTGTCGCATGCGATGCGAAGCGCTGCCTGCAGCAAATGTTCTGCACACACTGAAACAAAACACGTCCTCTGAGCGCGTTATCTGTGATGGATTGTGTTCCACGTTCAGGTGTCCTTTCCAAAGAGGTGGCAGCTGTCGAGACTTGTTTTCAGCTGCAGGCGGTGGCTCTGCCTCATAGAAGTTGGCAGCTCTCTTACAGGCGTTTGTTTCTACAGTTTTAAGAACCCCACAGGGGTGTGTGAACGTGCAGTGGTGTGTTGGGGGCTGAGAAACAGAAATTGGGACCTGTTGGTAGTGCTGTGCAGCAGTCAGGCTGTGGAGGAGAGCCGGACAGGAGTGCAGTGCTGACAGAGCTCTGACTGCCTCTGAGACTGTGATGCATTCTGGCATTCTGATTTTCTTTTCACACACCTGACAATAATTAACGAGCAGTTGAATGACAGTGAGCAACACCTGATGCTGAAGAGCTTATTTTCCATTTTCACTTACATAATACCAGGAAAAAAATGACAGTTTAGAACAAATAACCTCAGACCTCGTTTGTAGTCCTCTGAAGGTTGCCAGCGATTGTGATCCATCTGTTAAAGTCACACTGCTTTTGGTCTTCCCAAATGTCTTCCAGATCAGTAGTGCCTGTAGGAGAGCAGATTTACAAGGCTGGCAGCAGTGCTGGGCTTACAGCACGTTGTGGAATATGAAATAAATTCTGTTAAAAGCCACGTAAATCCCCAGAGAGCGCTGTAAATAATTTCAGGATTTTTTGTTTTACCTAACTACAAAAATGAATGTAAATAAGCTGGACATGTACTATTACTAGCCACTTATTGTTAGCCAATTATTTATTGAGATGCTGCCGATATAAAAAAAACATTATAATCATATTGTTGAGGTTTCACTCCAGCCTTGTTATTTCAAACAGACTTTTCAAAGACAATGGTCACCGAAATACAGCTGAGTCCAGATGAGTTTGACTACTTTCAAGTTGGAGTCGATTCTGAAGTGACGTTTTGCCTTAGAGAACTGAGGGTAGGTTAAGAGTTTGTTGTTTTCCCTTACTTTGACCTGGATAACACAGAAGAACGATCCCTGCCTCTGGTGTTCCACCAGGCCTGCCGGCCAGCAGCACTATCTCACCAGCTGGCTGAGGAATGGCTTTGGAAAGGATCTTCAAAGAAACTCTGAAAACAACAAACCCCATCTACCCAATGCTGAGATAAGATGAACACTGCTGCAGTAAGCGTCACGGCCACAGTAATTCTACCTGCACAGCTCCTGGCAGAGAAAGCAGAAGCCGTGATCTAGCAGCAGTAGCCTTTTTCCCTTTAAAGTAGACTTCACCTTTTTTGCCAATAAACAACAGCTGCATTCTAACATTAATCTTCTGCCACTTTTAAAATAGTACTCAACCCCTCACCCCTTCTTTTCAGGGACTGCTGGCGTTTTCAGAAGCTACCAGTGTTCCTGTCTCCATCCACTTGGACATGCCTGGGAAGTACGTTCTGGAGCTGCCTGTGGGAATGGTTGAGATATAAGCACCCTGTCTGTTTCGATCTGCAGGTTACTCAAGCATTTAACTGTAACAGTCAGATATTCATGTCAGGCTACAAGTTATATTTCTAATTAGTCTGCAGCATGGGGGGAAGTAGTTTCTTACTGAGCACAAAGCATTTAACGAGACCCCTGTACGTGGCTGTTTGCGTTTAGACCAGTTGCTTTCAGCATTGAAGACACGGTGCTGGAAGCCAGCTTTATTTTGGCTACGCTGTCTGACATCAGAAGTGAGATGGCTTCCCAGGAGACTGCGTGCTTCTCACAGATGCAGGAAAGGTAACAGCAGGCTGCAGAGGTGGGGGAGGGAGGCAGACTGGCACAGCAGGCTGAAACAGCTGAGTTTAAGATTTTCCTACTCAGTGATGTGCAGGGTATTCATAAGCACTGTACTTATCCTGGAGCCTTTATTCATAGGAAAGCTGTGCATTGGATAGATTCAGAAAAAGATTGAAATAGTTTGAGATGCAAAGCACGACAGCTAGACCACTCCCTCCCCATCAGTGCATTTGTTACCCTGAAGCTCGCAGCACTGTCTGCTTCTCGGCAGTGCCACAGCTCTGACAGCCACCGTGTGCTTGAGCACCAGCGCACCTCACATCTTACCTGTCAGCACAGGAAAGGTTTAGCCAGATGCTCCCTTCTTGATCATAAATCATTTTCCTTACTTGCACTGCTGCACCACTTCTGCAGCAGGCGGTGAGCCAGGAGCCGAGAGTTTGGGCGCCGTTTCTTGATAACACGAACAGCACAAAAACTGCTGGTGCAAGGGGGAGCGCTCCATACTCTTGCAGCTTTATCTCCATGGGGCTTTGTTGCAGTGAGAGGGGTTGTGGAGAAGCTAAGCTAAAGCTGTAGTGCCTTCCATTAGCACAAAGACCTCCTAACAAAGGCACACAGGAGGTTGTTACAAATCTGACCTATTCCCTCTGATTCAGCTCAAAGCCACGTGTGGACAAATGCTTTGATAAGGATGGCAGCGCTGAAGCAGTTGCTTCCAAAAAGCCGCGATGGAACAGGCAGGCACAGAACACAGGGTCAGGGGCACCTGCAAGTCCCTTGGCAAAACAGGTCAAAAGTGTTCCCCCAGTCTCATACAGAGGTACTGCAGGCACAGGAGGAACAGCTGTAACAAAGGCAGATGACCAAGCAGTGCTGGAAGCAGAGTCTCCTTATCACAAGGTGAGGACCTTCCCAATCACATTTACATTCTATAATAAAACAGTGTTACACCTTAGATGCCATTTAGAAGCTGAATACTACACATAGTCCCAATCTGCAGAAATAATTAGCCCTCAAATTCTGTTTCACATGCAGCGTCTTACTCCTGTGATTGTTGCATTTTCCAGTTTCATTCGTTGTTCTTTGGAGCAGTCTCTTCTAAGGAGAAGGACGCCGTCAGTCATGCCTTCCACAGTTTAGCAACAGCTAGTGACACAGAAGAGGATTTTGGCAAGACGCAGAGCTCACAAGTTCTCCAGTAAGGTGGAATGAATGAATCTCAGACTATCGCGGGCTGCCCTGAAAGTTAAGCATGTATTTGGCACGTAGAGCTGTTTTTAGCTTTAGAACAAAGTTTAATTCTATTATGAAAGTATCCTAAACTTCTCAGGCGAGTTAGAACTTAATGGAAACTCACTGCACCTGTATTCTGATCATTCTAAAAGGAGGATGCTGCCTAACGCAAAGTTAGGTCATTTAGTTTTGTATATCCTGCTGATATACTGCTTTGTATGTCCAGCTCTTCAGTCTCACAAGAGAAGTCAGCTGTGCCAGAGCTTCAGACAAACAAAGCTGCTCTTGTACAGCTACAAGCACTGCAATAAACCACCCGCTCCAGCACAGCCAAATTACTGCTTGTATGGTTGTTGGTATTACGGCAGAAGCTTGTAGAACCAGTGCTTAGCTTAGTGCAAGAAAGTTGGCATAAAAATGCATTTAAAAAATAAAAGTGATGCAATAACCAATTTGAAGCCTGAGTTTATGGGTTCTGGTGTTTCAGGTTTGAATGTTCTTTTCCTTTCCCTCATCACTTCCACTGAGTCAGCAACAGACAGCAGCAGCAGGGCACAGGACAAGAACAGCCACAGCCACCAAGGGTGCGTGGTGCAGCAGGCACCTGACCCGTGCTTTGTACCATTAGCAGAGTTTCTGCAGACAACACTGATTAAAATAGACACATTTTAGTATAAATACTATATTTATTAAATATCTTTACAATTCATTTAAATGTATTTACAGAACTATTCCTGCATAAGTTATACCTCAGACATGAAATTCACATAATTGCCTCTTAGGTAAGCATAGATGATAGTCTCATTTAACAACAACAAAAAAAAGCATCCTCATTAGATACAGACTCGGATTTGCTTCATTTTTTCAGCTATCTTTGGAAGAAACTACTTCATACAGTCCTTTTCTACACACACAGTCTGGTTTCTCCCTAGAGAAAGGATGCCCATTGCTGAGAGATGGAAATTCCTTCCCAAAATGCTTTACCTCACCTCCTTCATCTCCCTCACCCAGTCCTGTCTGGTCCCAAAATCTTGTTTTTTTTTTTCTCCTCAGCCATACCTTCTTCATGAGCACAAAGCGTAGAGAGAAACTGTACACTGTATGTCTCCCAAAGATAGCCGTCCAAGTAGCACGGAACCACAGACTCTTCCATTTCACATCTTAGCCCTTTTTTCACCCATATACCGAGTAACACAGCCACAGAAATCCCAACTCCTGCACACACCGGGGTCCCCCTTCCCTTCCCATTCCTGCTCCACAACAGCCAGCTCCTGTCAGCTAACAGGAACGTTCCGTGGCAGCTGAGGCCGTTCCTTCACGTCCCCATGCTACGGAACAGCTCTCCTGTACGCTCCTCTCACCAACACACAAAACCTAACTGCTCAGAAGCGTTCCTGCTTCGTGCATCGTTTAAAGTTACTGTGATAGTATGGGCCCTGTCATTTCCTCTTCCAAAAATTTGTTGTGCGCAGACAGCTTAAGTTCATAGGAAGAAATTAGGTTTGATATGTTTCGAGTGCATATCTGAAAACAAAACAAAAACAAGCGCGTGATAAAAATATCAATTCTTTATAATACAGTATTGCTTTATAAACAGATGGAAAAGCTATCAGCTTTACTGGTCTTTGGTGTGTCCAGTGAGGGATAAACTCATGAATTGTAAATAAAAATCCAATTTTGTTCTTTATTAAAAAATAAATCAGGATGTGATGTGAGGCAGATGGCTTAACAGACACCGCTCAGCTACGAACTGCTTCAACACAAACAGCAAGGCAGAGGCTCAAACCCAGCAGGCAGCACAGTTCGCTTCCGGGGAGGCGGCCGAATCTCTCCGGTGGAGGATTCCAGCCCTGGACCAGCAGAGGCAGAGCACAGAGCACGCAGCACCTCACACACCTCTGCTGTGCTCATCTCTCTGATCCACATACATTTCTCAATTTATAATTCTAAAAAGTGGAGGGGGGGGGGAAAAAAATGAAGGCTGGAAATGAGCGTAGTGAGAGCGAGGAGTCAGAGTGCAAAACAGTCCGGGTCTACAAGGGCATCGTTTAAGGTAAGTTCAGGGGAAAGAGTAATTGATCAAATCAGCTCTAGTGAAGAAACACGACAGTCAATACTGAAGAACAAAACGTGAAGATACCCAGATGTGAGAGGGAAACGCCCCTCCCAAGGACGAGAAACAAAGCCCTGTACTGCAGCATGAATACATTCCTTCCAACGAGAAGCCAGGATCCAGCTTGTTCAGTTCTAAAAAACAAAGACTGACATTTGTGCAAAGTTACCCACCACTCACTGCTCCACGGATCGCAAAACTAATTGGTTTTTCTTCATTAACATAATCCTCCCCATACCCTCACCAAAATAAGATTTTGGTCAAGTTAGGGTAGTTAAGGCATTTTGACAAGTAATTACAAGGTGATTTAAAATAGATACGTAACATTACGCCAATTTAGGAATAGCAGATAAATTACTGAAGAGCTTCCAAATTAATCACTTATTATAAATGAAATGCCTGTTACAAGCACGATGCATTGAAATAGAGTAAAATGACATGTACATGGTACATGTTAAATGATCTTAAATAAAAGCTCGACATAGTTACGCAAATATACAGTACAAGTCCACAAAAATTCTTTAAACAAGTTGAGGTAACCTCAAACTTAAACAGTTTTAATGCAATAAACCAGGTAGTAAAGATCTCCTCCTGAGAGCAGGTAAGACTGCTTACTGACCGAGTTTAACTGCACTCACCTAGACATCGACATTACCCGACTTTTTATATATAAAAACATGGCTTTAATTTATTTCTACATACTCTTCTACCGGCAAAAAAGTTAATGAAAAACTGACCAAAAATATATATATCTTTACAGCTATCAGCTATTTGTATGAACCTCAAAATAGAAAGGAAAGCTTGCTGGAACGGGGGGAACAACTGCGAGCTGCTGTGATTCCAAAGGAAATGTAATATTGCAAAGTGGCTGTCAGATAACTGTAAACATCATTAAGGTTCGTTCTGAAAACCCTACGCTTTAGTTTCTGAAATGTTGCGTTTTGCTGATTTTTCATCGATGGTTTCCATTTCTGTACTGCTGCTGCCACAGCATAAGCAAAGAGGTGCGTGTGGGAGCCAGAAAACACGAGGATCGTCTGGCCTTCACTTGGTGCAGCACGTGCTGTGCTGCAGAGTGGCAATATTCAGACAAATGATGTTTCGTTAACAAGAGATTTGTGTACCAAAGTAACGATGCTCGGAGCTGAGGCTGATCTGCTCTCTGTGCAGCCTCCTGCTGCAGCATTGACGCCGTATCACCTGTGCTGGTCAGATGGGTTAAAATGCTTTGAAGGACCTCAGCTTCGACCATCTCTGGTGGTGGTCTTTTGGTTTTTTTTTTTTTGTTTTTTTTTTTTAGACAAAGTTATAGTTTTTGTTTAAAAAAAGATAGTTATCCACAGCCAAAACATCCAGATACCAGCCCCATTATGGACGAATGATCTGCAGAACTCTTTAAGATCACGGTTAAGCACCTGAAATCACAAAACACATTTGCATCCATACAACTTGACCTAAAGTATGTTTTTGAAATTCCGAACTAGAAAAGGCTCCTAGGCTGACAGCGTGTATGGCAAGAGCAGAATGTTTACAGCAGTTACAAACCTCCTGAAAACCGGAGCTTAGGAACACGAGACCTCAGCTACCACTGTAACAAGACTACGCTTATGGAACTGTGTTCTGTAACATACCCTTTAACGAACAGTGAATGTTTCTAGCAGATAGAATAATATGCCCTCTTGTAGAGGTTTTAGCTATTGAATCTAGGCTGAAAGATGATAAACCAATTCTACTCATCTGAAAGTCACATTTCAAATGCAATAACAATGTGGGATTGATCCTCCCCCTTTTATGGACAATTGCTAAGCTCTGAAAGACATGCTTCAAGCCTTGAGCTGCTTCTTCACTTCTTGCTGGCAGACAGAGACCAGTGCACTACGAGAGTGGTTCTTAACAAGGACTTCAGTTGTGTCTCAAGACAGGCAACGAGCTCGCAAACTGGCTGCAGAGATCAGCTGCAAAGGAAGAAAGCCATCCTGCCAGCAGGAAACCACACGTGTGAAGCTGGGAGCTCGGGGGTAATGAACACATCGGCAGCTGGCACTGCAGGCACGTCAGTCTGTGTACTCAGCTACGATAGAAAGAAGGACGGTGATGTCATCTGGTTTCCCCCCTGTAATATAAGAATAAAAGCATGATGTCAAACCACGCTGCATTGTCTTCTTATAGCCTGTGGTGCTGCCCCATGGAAAGCTCCTAGTTTAAATATTAAAAATCTGAAGCAGAGAACGCTTCCTCTACTTCCTTTCCAAAATGCAGCTGAGGGGAGCATTCAAAAGATCAAAAAAGCTCTCTCCCCTCTTGAGCAACAGTGAGATGCTGCTAAAAGCTACTAACATTTTCAGCTATCACTTTTCAAGACTCAGTAGGCTGCAGCAATGCACTGCAGTTGCACAGAAATAGCTCACAGGGGTATTTGGTTACACAGAAGGTCACAGGAGGTCTCAGGACTTGGGAGATCTGCAGATTCATTACTATCAACCTTTATGAGAGGCGTTTAAGGTGCTGCAGGAAATCCTGCCCTCTTGATACAGGGATAATGAGGATCTCTCTAATTATTAATTAAAAAACATCGTTTGACTGGAGTCTGAACTCTGCCAGGCATTAGTACTTTTCTAGAGCATAGGAAATAGAACCAACAGAGATCAGGGCTGGGGGTTAATGGTACAAAGCTCAGAAAGAAATCCAAACAGCTGGCAGAATCTCGACTAAAATGCATCAAGACTGGAAGACCTTAACAGAAAATCACATCCCACAACTGAACAACAAAAATCCACAGCCATGCACAAATCCTAGGAACGGGTCAAGCACAGCTCTCCTGGGAGCCTGGACAACTTATGTCAGGCTGGATTCTTGTGGCAGCAGCATCCATATTAAAGAAAAAAAATAACAGAAGTCAGTGCACAGAGCTCCATGCACTCCAGCTGCTTCCCCCCAGGAGGCTGCTGACTGGCTGGGGCCTGGGATGACCCGCGTCAGGAACCGGGCTCCTTGCCAAACTGACAGCACTGCTGCTCTGCTGCCAAGCACATTTCTTAATTCTCTCTTTTCCTATTGGATTTTTAAGCAGAGCTTTACTTTGCTGAAGATTTCTTAAAGATAGCGAGAGTGGGAGGAAGAGAAAGGAAAATCTTACCTCTCACGTTCAAGCCATTGTCACATGCAAACTGTGCGAAGGGTGACATGTAAGTGGGATCATACGCCAGCTCGTGAGCTTGCTCAGCAATGCTTCTTGCAGTCTGCTGTATGCTCTCATAGTTGGAGTTCTAAATTGATGAGGAAAAAAGTATTCTTGTAAGGAAGCCTCTATCGCTATTTGTCAATTAACAGATCTGATAACTAAGAGTTCGCATTGAAAGAACCATTTTTTTACCCTCACAAAAGAGACTCAGTTGAAGTAATGACATTTCACACCTTGAATGGAAAGCCTTAAGTCTGAGCCTCTTGCCCAAACCAACAAAAACACACCTGGGAAGAAGGAGCACCTTCAAAGTAAGATGAGAAAAGCTTTAATGAGAGCAGAATTTCTATGGGTAACTCATGCTCTTTTCTTATTCACTCTCCCTGTTGCTTTTCTTCAATACTTTTCTTACTCCAGACAACACAACATGACAATTCATCCCTATTATTGAGAACTATTTTTAAATGTCATTTCAGAAAGTCTTCCCTGAAGTTTGGGGACTCAGCAGGCTTCTCCACGATGAACTTCTGGCTGAATTTCCTCAAAGGGAACTTCGGTGCCTTTCCCAACTGTACCAATAGATGGAGCTCAACTTACTTTTTCCGGAGAAGTGAATCTCCAGCACCCACCTCTGCTGACCTCTTGTCTGTGCAACAAAAAGGTGGATGTACCACAAACAGAAGCATGCTGTGGCACCATCCATCAGCGACTCGGGTTGGCAGCTAGCACACCAGAGCCTTCCAGCCCACGACAGCATGCTGACACCTTCAGCACCATCATTACCTTTGCTAACCAGGTTAAAGCCCCTGTGACAGCTTGTGCTGTGGCACGATCCCACATTCCCTTTCACAGCACAGCTGCACACTTTGCTATTTCTGCTCTGATCATAGCACCAACAAGAGAGGAAATGATAGGGGGGGACTGCGGAGGGGAAGCACAGAGTCTACCTCGTGTGCAGACAGAGGCCTCCGACCTTTAGCCTGCAAGGACCCATTCTGCCTGGCACCACCTTTCAATTACATACCTGCAGGATAAGAGCAGGCACAATATTTTTAAAACCACACTGTAATTCTACACGCTCGCCTCCTCTGCATCTCATAACATCAAAATGCTTCCCCCAGGGCAGTTATACATCTTGATACCTCTTCAGCATACTTTCCTTTCTGTAAATAGCCTTAAGCTAAACGCTCTCACGCAAACTAAAATAGTTTAATGTATGTTTACTGTTTAAAGGAGTGTTTGTGGTCACCAACCTGGAGAACTAGCTGAGAGGTTTTTTTTTTTTTTTAATATCAGATTTTCCACACACACGCAGCCCACAGTTCAGACACTCCAGACTTTCAGAACTACTGTTTTATAAGCCTTCAAAAAACTATCCATTCTTTCTAAGTACTGAGCTTCCCTTGCCCCAAATAACCCTTAAGAGAAAGCTGTATTTCCACTTATTTAATCTACAACTGCAAATGCAAATAGAATACAGGCAGCTACGAGCAGCGCCTGCTGCTGAACTGCCAGCTCTCCCCAGTCCCCCCGCCACCCCCTTGTGTTACAGCAGCCACCAACTCACTGCTGGCTGCTGCTCAGCACATCTGTGCCAAAGCTGCTGCTTCGGATTCAGCCTGGCTGCAGACCCGAGAGAGAGAGAGCGCCTTGGGGCCAACAGCCCTGCT